TTAGGGATCAGTGTGATTAGATTGGGCTCACCTGGGTAATTTACCCAGGCTAATCTCCCCATCTCACAGTCTTTAACTAAATCCCATCTGCACAATCCTCTTGCCAGGTAAGATAACATATTTACACGATCCAGGGATTGGGAAGCAGACATTTCCTCCTGGGGGGGGGGGCATTATTCTGCCTACCATGTAGAAAGACAGCCACATAAAAGGAAGGGCAACAGAGGTGGGGTTTGGGGGGGGCAGGTAGGAGGCCCTTTCCAAGCAGTAGGAAGAGCCTGTAGAATGACCCCTAGGTAGGAATTGTATGTATTCCAGAAACAACATGGAGTTTGCATTGGAATGAGGGAGGGAGTTATTCATTCAACCCACATTTATTAAATGCCCTCTATATGGTAGGTGCTGTTTTGAGGATACAAGATTGAACAAGACAAAGTCTCTGTCCTCTGAGGCTAGAGTGAAAAGCAAGGGCCAGATCATGAGAGGCCTTGTTGACTTTCTTAAAGAGTTTGAGCTTCATCCAAGAGCTATATGGAGTCATCCATTCATTCATCTGACAAATTTTATTGAGCACATGCTACGTGCCAGGCATGTTCCAGGCTCTGGGAATACAGAATTCTAAAAACTAAAGAAAAACAAAACAAAAAAAACCAACCTAAAGAATCCCTGCCCTCACAGAGCTTCTGTGCTAGTTGATGTTAATTAAGCAGGGGAAGTAGATGTCTGCTTTAGAAAGATCATTCTGGCTGGGGTGTTGGGGAAGAGACTGGAGGGGAGGGAGCAAGACTAGAGGTTGCTAGACCCCTTGACTCCCTTCCTCAATATTCACAGGCTTTCTCCAGCTTCATGTCCCTCGTTGGACTCCTCCTCTTTTGTCAAGAACCCTCTTTCCCCTTTATCCTCCAACTGTACTTATTCTGCAACACCCCACCCCCAGCCCTGATTCAACATTCTGCACCTGGGCTTCCCAGTGCTGCAGAAGAAAATGAGGAAAATGTTAATATCACCTCCACTACATATCAGAATATCGGATTCCAGCCACATCCTCGACTCTGCTGACAATTCCATTTCTCTCTCTAAGAAGCTACCATTCTCATTCCTTTGGGTGGCTATTTTAACCTTATCCACTTTCCTTAAGTCCTCAAGCCCAACTTGACCCCTTCTCTTTCAAGAAATTGCTTACAGACCATCAGGTAGCAACCAGTTAACTCCTAACCTCTAGGTTTACCAATCTACACAAGTATCTGTTCCGCTCCTTGCCCTTTCTTGAAGATATCCCAGGCAACCCCTGCCCCTCCCCCCATTTCCTCTGGGATGGTTTTCATTAATCATCTCTCTATCTCCTTGGTCTTTCTCCTCAACATTTGAGCGTATTTAAGCTCTTCCCATCTGATAAAGGAAAGCCATAACAAAAATCCTCCCCTCCATCCTGCACTCCTCAGCCCCATACACTGCCTTATATTTCTCCTTTCCATTAATTGCCAGGCTTCTCTAAAGAAGCTCCAATGTCTTCATATGTCTCTTTTATTCCTTAAGCCACTGGAGCCTGTGTGTTTAACTGTGACTGTTCTCACACCACTGGTCCCAATGACTCTCCTGCCAATCCAAAGGGCACTTTCCAGGGCTGCCCTCCTGGCTTTCCCTGCCACACTTGTGTTCAGTCACTTTCCTGACACTTCCACCCTCCTTTCTGATACTCTGTGGTGGCGGGTTTTCCCTACCAACCTCGTTGTTTCTTCTCAACTTCTTTGGCAGGGGTCTTCCTCTGCACGCGCCCACCTGGGTGATCTCACGCATGCCCACAGCTTCACTGACCATCCATGATCTGAAGAGTCCAAAATTGCCCTCACTTGTCCACACCTCTGCTCTGACTTTAGTTTCTAGACATCCTCACCTAAACATTCTACAGTTACCTCAAACCCAACATGTCCAAAATGAAACTCATGTTTGCTCCCCCAACACCTGGGCCCTGTCTTACTATAGTCCCCCCACTTGGTGCATGGCATGATTTGCCACTAATTCCTAAGACATCAAATGGACAGTGATTCTAGATCCCTCCTCCCACTGCCTACATTCAATACATTATCAAATATTATTGATTTTTGGGCGCCTGGGTGGCTCAGTTGGTTAAGCGACTGCCTTCGGCTCAGGTCATGATCCTGGAGTCCCGGGATCGAGTCCCACATTGGGCTTCCTGCTCAGCAGGGAGTCTGCTTCTCCCTCTGACCCTCTTCCCTCTCGTGCTTTCTATCTCTCGTTCTCTCTCTCTCTCAAATAAATAAATAAAATCTTTAAAAAAAAATATTATTGATTTGACTTCCTAACCATCGCTTGTATCTGGTCTTTCCTTTTTATCCCCATGGCCACGGCCCTGGCTGGGTTTTGAGATTCTCTGATCTTGCACTCTGAATGTAGCCGTGGCCTCCGTGAGCTCTCGGCCTGTACTCCTAATGTGGCAGGAAGCAAATGACACACTCCAATTTGAAGAGACAATTTACAAAGGGTCAGCAGGGTAAAGGAAAGCTGTGTGGTGTGAGAACAGTCACAGTTAAACCCACAGGCTCCAGTGGCTTAAGGAATAAAAGAGACACATGAAGACATTGGAGCTTCTTTCTAGAAGCTTGGCAATTAATGGAAAGGAGAAATATAAGGCAGCGGATGGGGGTGAGGAGTGCAGGATGGAATAGTGTGCAGCACATTGGGGCCATCAGGAAACCAAGTTTCCACTCCCAGGCCTGAGAAGGTAATTGAGATATCTGAATTGAGAAAGTTGGGGGTGGAGGGGGAGAGGGAACCACCCAGAGGGAGCTGTGAACTTTGGCTGAGGGAGGCAGCCAGCCCACAGGGACTCCAAAGAGAGGGAAATCCTGAGAAGCAAATATCCAGACCTATTCAACCTCCCGCCTTCCAATCTTCTGCCAGGGCTCCCAGTGGCCACCCTCTACTAGGAAGCCAGATGGCTTCAGGGACAATGGGAAGACACAGAGTGCATCTTCCAAATCCTCCTGTGTAATATGCCAGGAGGTTTTTCTGATATCACTCCCAGCTCCACTTGTCTACACCCTGGGTTCTCTGTCACCCGCAGGACAAAAATCTAAACTTCTTGCCATGCCCTGGTTTCTCTTATAAGGAAATATTTTCTCCCTACAAAGTGCATTGGAGAGCCTTTGATAAGATGTTCAACGCAGTGACCCAGGCTTATTTCCTGTTAGCTCTCCACTTGGGAAATTTTCACTCCGGCAAGAGACATACTGACGACCCCTAGGCCCCTCTGTTCTCGCAGGCCTCTGAGCTTAGCCTGATGACAGGCACACAGTAAGGCTCACACATATTCACACTGTGAACAAGTGGTGAATGAGTGAGTGAACGAATGCATGTTTTTATCCCCTGTGGCTCTTGAGGATTAGGAGCTGATATTATCACTGATGCTCAGAGGGTGGACTACCCAAGGTCACATGGCAGAGGGTAGAGAGAAGAAACACAGGCTTGGGTCTCCCCTCTCCTCCCTATGGTCTCACTCAGGGTTGCCTGCAATTCGGGGTCCTTCGCATTCGCTCAGATTTCATCTTATATGAGAACAAAACAATATCCCAAGAAATCCTTCTGAACCGGGAACTCGCTTTTTTAAGATTTTTATTTATTTACTCATGAGAGACAGAGAGAGAGAGGCAGAGGGAGAAGCAGGCTCCCAAGGAGCAGGGAGCCCGATGCGGGACTCGATCCCAGGACCCTGGGATCACGACCTGAGCCGAAGGCAGATGCCCAACCATCTGAGCCACCCAGGTGCCTGGGAACTCGCTTTTTATATTGCTTTCTCCCCCTGTAGGACTTCTTCTGGTTAGTCAAATTCTCTTCCTAATAAATATCCTCTTACTGAGCTTTGGAGTCTCTTCAAATTCTATAATTTTATGAATCTAGGAATTGTGTTGGCTTTTCTCACAGTTTTGTATTAATAAGGGAATTTTAGCGGCCCCATATCTTATTAAAAGGCCTTTCTGACTTTTTTTTTTAACTCTAGTAAACCCTAAACAGACTGAAATAGTAGCATTTTAACAAATATTTCCTTGAGACCAGGAAAGGGGTAGGTTGGCAGACGTTTCCATGGGAACCCTGGCTGGGGAGTCCCAGGCTTCTGAAGGAGGCTGGGAGCCTGGAGACCCCCATACCTGAAGGGGAACTGCAGGGGAGGGAGGCTGGGAACCAGGTGTTGATCCTCACAGACCGGCCAGAAAGGAAGGAGGGCCCCGGGGGAGAATAAATTAAAGTTTTGAGGAAATTGTACTTTGAGATCAGAGATCTTAGTTACTATGCAAAGCAAATGCAAATGAGGAGCTGGCCAATTCTTGGTTGTTCTTTTTTGGGGGGGGTGGAGTCTTTAGGAAAATTCTTCTAGAGACCACTGCTCAAAGAAAGCACTTGGAGTCAAAATCTTAAACATAACCAACTGAATGAACGAAGTGGGTTTTTTCCCTACCATAGTTGGGTTGGAGGACCCTCTCCCCACCCCTCCCCCTCAGGATTGCTATTCTCTGGGGTTCAGGTCGGACGGGGCACTCGGGCGGACAGAAACACCAACACGGCTGATTGCTCAGCCCCGAGCCAGCTTCCCCCCTACCCCCACCTCCGCCCTCAAGGTAGGGGCTTTTGCAGGCGTCGCAATCCTAGTAACGCAGGGGGTAAGTCCTCAAACCCTCAGTGGTTCCTTTTCAGCAGACAGACCTGGCATTAATCTGACACGGAGCAAAGGGGTCCCCGCAGGGAAAAGTAACGACCATCTGCAGAAAACCTCACTCAAGGGGGAAGCGGCAGCGCCGGCTGCAGTCCCCGAGCACAATCGGACGCCCGCGCGCCGCTCTCCCCCGCGGGCCCGCGGGGAGGGAGGGAGGGAGGGAGCGAGTGGCGGCGGAGGGAGGGAGGGAGGGAGGAGGGAGGGAGGCGGGCGGCGGGAGGGAGAGGTAGAGGGCGGTCAGGGTTCCGGGGCCCGCCCCGCCCTCGCGCTCGCCGCCGACTCGGCGCTGCGGGCTGGAGCGGGCGGCCGGGCGGCTGCCTGTCCAGGCCGGGGCTGGCCGCGCCTCGCGTCGCCGTGCAGTGCGCCGGGTCTCCGGGAGATGGCTTCTCCGCTCCCGCCCGCTGCTCCCGCTATTGTCTCACCCGGGGTGGCCTGACTCTGCGGGCTCGCGCACGCTCCGGACCCGGAGGGCTCCCCCGCGCCCCCGGAGCGGGTCCCGGCGCCCTTTCCTGCCTTCCCCGCCGCCCCGGGGTGGGGGCCCCAGGGCCGGCGCTCGCGGCGGGCAGCGCGGAGAGGGGAGCGGCCCGGGCGCGGGCGGTGCGCGGCCGGCGCGCCCGGGTGCTGGGGACGCCTGGAGCTGCGGAGCCGGCAGCCCGCGTCGCCGAGCACACGCCACGTCGGGTCTCGCAGGGAAGCCCGCAGCGAGCACAGGTAGGACGCGCACCGGGCCGGGAGCGCCCGCCGCGGGTCTGCGGATGGCCCGCGGAGTGGACGGAGCAGAGGTCAAGGGGCTCTCCCTCCAACATGGCAACAGCCGAGGTGCAACAATGGAAGGAGCCGCGGGTTCCCGGAGGCCGGCCGAGCCGCGGACGCGGTGGCAGCGAGAGCTCCAGCCCGCGGCGCCCTGCAGGTTGCCGACTCCCGTCGCCACCCCGCCCCAACAGTTTCGGGGCGTCTCGGGCCCCCGGGCACCCCCTTCCCACTCCCTTCCCTCTCAACACACTTCCTGGCTCCCAGCTGCAAGACGATCTGAGCCAACCGATGGTTTGGGGGTTTGTTTGTTTTAAGATAAGAAATAAAAAGCAAAACCTGCCCCGGAGTGGGGGTGGTGGGGGTGGCGTTTTCTCTTTTTCTCTTGCAGTGGGTGAAAAGTCAGCATCTAGCCTGGGGAATATATACATTTTTTAGCCAGACGGAGGGCAGACTTGGCTTCTGCCTTATAAGGGTACTGCAGCACCAGGAGAAGCTGGAGCGGGGAGAGAGGGACCCTCAGGCCTGAGTTTCCGGGCCCTCCGGGGAGTCCCTGCTCTCCTGGCTGGTACTCGTCTCTCGTTCTCAGCTCCCGACAGCGGCGGCTTTGATGTTGGGGAGCAATCGCAGCAGCAGGAAGCCCAGGGGACGCTGCCAAGCTGGGGTGGGGTAGGGTGGGGAGCCAAGGGGTTTGGCAAGCTCCTGGGTTGAGAGAAGAGATTACCAATTGTATGAGGTTAGTGCACACACCCTGGTTGCCTGGGGTGTGTGTGTGTGTGTGTAGAATCTGGGGGGGGGGGTGTGGTGTGTGTGTAGAATCTGCCATTGCTCCTGCGCCTTGAGGCCACCCTTCTCTCCCCTTCGTCCCTACCCCCTTGCGGGGTCTTTGTGGCTTCCCTGTCCCGGTCCCACCAGCCACGCATGGGTGGAATCTCTATTGTTTCCTGCTGCCCTGATGTTCTCCCCTTCCCCGCCCCCCCAATTCCGTTGGGGAATTTTGTACCCTGGGCTGGCTGGTCCCAGCATGGCACCAGATTCCTGAGCGCACAGCTACCCAGGCTTCCAGAAGTGAGCCAACGCTGCCCCTCCTTCTCTCTCTAAACTACCTGTCTGGGATGTGGCCAAGCAGATGTAAGCAATTTGCACTGAATTCCAACCCTGTATCAGTTGCTGAATGAAAACTTACTCCACCGCTGCACTAGGCCTTGGAAAGATATTGGGAGAGAAACGTTCCAGGGTTGGCAAACCTGATCCCCAATTATTCCTCCTTCTCCAAGTCCAGCTGTGCATCCTACAGCAGAGAGGTTATGAGGCTTCAGAACTGCATCTCCTCCAGAGCCTGGCAGTCCCATCTGGGGCTGTGTGCATGGAAAAATGAAGTAGAGGTACATTTTATACCTCTGCCTGGCATCTAGCATTTGAGGAGATGGGGCTGTGAGCTGGAGCCCTGGACTGCTTCTCCTTTGGCCTTTGGGTGAGCTCAAGGTTTGATTTCCATGGCTCTGAATTTACTGCTGAGTGTGCATGGGTGTGTGTGTCTGAATTTGATCAAGCTCTCAGCCCTGGCCAGAAGGGAGCTTGTACATTTTCCTCTCCCTGGAAGCATCAGTGAGGGAGGCCCATGGGTATGCTGGGTTGAGGAAGGCTCAGTGGATCTGGGGCCTCAGGATTTTCTCTGGGGTGCTCCTTTGGAATTGCCCAGTGACCTGGAATGCTTTTGGTCTTTGCCATGACATAGTGGCCCTCTAGCAGACACCCCACAGCCTTCTGGGCCTTTGGTCCCCTTTCTGGTTTCCTCACCGTACCTGGCCTGGTGCTTTGCAGGTACCTCACGTGTATGGTCCTTCAGCCTGCACAGCCATGCCACAGCCAGCAGGGAGGAAAAGGAGAGAACTGTGTTCCCTTGGAGGCGTTTGTGGCTGGCCATAAACTTCAGGCTTCTCATGCTCCCAGGATGTGAACTTGGACATGATAATGTGGAGTAGTAGAGAAAATAGTGGGTGGGTTTGGGGTCAGGAGGCTTGGTTTTGAGTCCCGGTTTGACTTACTTCCTAGCTGTGTGAGCATGGACAACTTATGAACCTAAGACTTAGTTTGCATATCTCTAAAATGGGGGGAAATACCCTTGGCTCACAAGATTGCTTTAAAGATGAAACACACTGCTTACCATGAACTGAATAAAATCATGTGTGCAAAAGCACTCTGGAAACTGCAGAGTACTATACCAATGTGTGTTACCCTGAATTTAGCCTTGGTAACAACAGGGGAGGGAGAGCTGGTGGGGGTTGGGAAAGGGGTGGGAGGAAGGGACAGAATAGAGAATGTTCTGGAACATAGGACAAGGGACGCGTGATGTGCAGATACCAAGGTAGCTATTTCTTGGGTTACTTTTCTGTTTTGGGGGGGAATTACTTCACTTTAAAAAGGGTTGACAGGATGTGAGCTAGGAGAGAAGGAGATGCTGCTTAACGATATCTGTAGGGAAGTGGGGAAACACCCCCCAAAGGCGGGCTACTGTCCATAGACAGGGTAGTGCTGAGCTGGCAAATAATATAATAGCTAACATTTACTGATGTCAATCAGCTAGTAAATGACAGAGGAGGGATTTGAAGTAGGCTGCTTCACTCCAGACCCCTGTGCTCATAACCTTGATGCCACTGTGAGGGTGATATCAGGTCTTGGGAGGACGGAAAGGGGTAGCAGAGTACAGAATTCATGCATACTGGATTTCCTGACTTGAACGCCTGTGACAAGTCACCAGCCTGGGACATTCCTTAGATAATAAAGTTCTCGGGGCACCTGGGTGGCTCAGTCCCTAGGCATCTGCCTTCAGCTCAGGTCATGATCCCAGAGCCCTGCATCCGGCTCCCTCCCGGCTCAGCAGGAAGCCTGCTTCTCTCTCTCCCACTCCCCCTGCTGTGTCTCTCTTTCTGTCAAATAAATAAATAAAATCTTAAAAAAAAAAATGTTCTCAAGGGCTGGGGCCCAGCATAGCACCTCCTTAATTCCCAGGTGTTTGGGGGTCAAGGCACATGTATGTGAATTCCTTGGGTTCCTGCCTTACCGGCCTTTTTGTGCTTTCCCATTCATATCCCTACCTCAGTGTAAGGAGAAGAGTGGGGGTAATCAAATCGAGTAATTTTGCTCCCTTCTGGGCAACATTAATAAGAGGTTTGGGACTTGGCGGTACTCTGGAAAATTGAGGCAGATCTTTCGTTTTAGTATTTCTGTATGTGCTTCATTTCGTGTCTCTTTTATAAAATGAAACTTAGGAGACTGTTATTCTTGCACATCCTATGACCCCATAAGGCTTTAGAACTGGAAAGGACTTTGGAGATCATTTCCCTGAGAAGGAGTGACTCTCCCAAGGTCACACAGTTACTAGCAATGTTGGAATTTACTCTTGCCCCCTAGATCACAATATGATCAATGACAGGACCTATCTTTTGGCACTTCACAATTGTGTGCAGACCCTGCCAGTGACTTCATTGTTGGGGAATTCACTCCCTCCAAACTCCTATGTTTGGTTAAAGACTTTAAGGACACCTAAGACACTGTTTGTGCTGCGGGGCAGAGGCCCTCAAGGTCAGGAGAAGAGGAGAGCGGTTCTCAATATTCCTGAGGCAGACCACAGAACCTGTGGCTAAAGGAATCCAGCAATTCCTTCTTTCCTCTTTTGGAATACTTCCCATAGGAAGTCTCACCCCACAGAGGCTCCGTAGTATTTCCAAGAGGAGCCAGAGATCATTTGCCTCTTCAGAAAATGTTTTTCCTTTCATCAACGCTTTATCACTCCTGCCTCTCTTCCTTCCTGAAAACACCGTTCCATTCCCTTCTTCCTGCTCCTTTCTCTCTCTCCAGCCAACCGACCCTAGCAGTCACTGCGAGATTGAGCTCCTGGGTGGCAGTGCTTGCTTTCTTCTCGGCAGTTCTTCCTACAATGCTTTGTGCGCCCTAAGCCTCTGCTCCCGAGGGGCCTGTCGTAGAGGCTAGATTCTCCTTCATCTCCTCTCCCCGTATCCTCCCCAAATGGAGGTGGGTGTCAGGAATGAGAGCTCAACGTGGCTGGATGGCGAGGCCCACCGGGGCTAAGCTTTCATGGAGGCATCCTCTTCAGCCAAGTTCTTCTATCTTAGTGTAGTTGGTACCCCTGGCAGCAAACCAGAAGCACAGGGGGAGGGGAAAAGAGGAAAGAACCAAGAAGATTCCGTTTTGAGGAACTGCTACAGTGTGCCTTGCGAGGGAGAAGAAATAGATATGAGCCTTTCTTGTCTTAGGTCGCAAACGAACCCAGAACACAGGTGAGTGTAATGATGGCTCTCTTCCACTGTTGAGACATCTCTTGAGAGCCCGTCTTTGCTGGAAGCAGAGCGTCTGCCATGTTCCTGATTCGCCATGCTGTTACGTCTTCCTAAGGGTAAATAAAGGAAGTTAAAATGATAAGGAGCACCATTAGAGTGTGTTTAATTCTGACCCAAAAAGGAGAGATTGTTTGCAAATTGGGTATTATGGGAAGCTGGGAAAAGACATATTATTTTCCCCCAAAAATATTATGGCCAGGATTTCATGTTTCCGCTGTAGACTTCAAGAAGGCATTTTATTTTTTTAATTAAGAGAAAGGATAGATATAATTCCCCGACAAGAGACTGTGAAAGAGAGTGGTTCCAAAGGGTTGGCAAATTCTCTGAAGTGCAATTTTGACGACACTGTTACGGCACACAAGGCGAAAGGGAGCCACCTGAACAAAAGTTCAAGTACCATGAAAGGCAAGAGTGTGTGATGAAGAATAGCCAGCAGCACTGTCTGTCCACTGGTAGCTTTTCTTTCTTTTTCTTTCTAAGTTTTTGTTTTAGTTCCAGTGAGTTAACATACAGCATTATATTAGTTTCAGGTGTTGTCCACCTGTAACTTTTCAGACATTATCTTTACTTTCCCCTTCCCCTAACCTTGGAGGAAACCAT